AAGTAGGTATGACCATAAATGAAACAAGAGAGACCATAAATCAGTAAGTACTAAAACAGGATAATAGATAAATGAGAGCTCATTATCCTAGTCACTCCACTTTATAACTTTTGATTTTGACAAAATAAAAAGTAGCAAAACAAGGCACCAGTAAAATGTCTCAGCCAATATTAATGCTTGCTGCATAAGCCTGACAACCTGAATTTTATCCCAGAACCCACGTGGTAAATGGAGAGAACTACCTCCACAAGACTGTCCTCTGACATCCACACGAATGCTGTCACACATGCCCTTTCTCCTCTCTCTCTCTCTCTCTCTCTCTCTCTTCCACACACATCCACACAAGTGTTGTCACACATGCCCTTACACACACACACACACACACACACACACACACACTAACAATATTTTTTAAGAAACAAAAGGACCGGAATATGAATGTTATTATTCCCATATTACAAATGAGAGCAGACACAGGAATCTAAGTTAGTCAGCCAAGTTCACATAGTCAGTAGAGTAGAGTCAATGTGATCTGATGTGAAATCTAGCAGGTTTGGAAAATGACAGCAATAGAAACCTTTCCCATTGCATTATGCCTCTCTCTCTCTCTCTCTCTCTCTCTCTCTCTCTCTCTCTCTCTCTCTCTCTCCCTCCCCCTCTCCCTCTCCCTCCCTCTCTGTCTCTCTTCCTCTCTTTGTCTCTCTCTTACACACACACACACAGACACACACACAGAGCAATAATCCTACAAAGCTGTAGAGCACTTTATAGTTTACATAGAGAATTACATGCACGCCAGGCTTCTCACTCTTATCCTAGCCAGCTACAGTGGTTAGGAAAAGGTATTTCTTGAGAACATGCCTGGGAATTATGCATCTGGATGATGACATCGGCATAGGATTCTGATTGACAACCTGCTGCCGTCTGCCCGGGAAAGCAGCCACTCATCTACAACAGGCAGCAAACCAGCCTGCAGCCGGTGGCATTTTCAGGGAATCTTGTTGTTATCTCTAACAACAATCTCCTGAAGTCAGACACTAACCCCTGTTCACAATTACCCTCAAGTCACTAAGGCTTGTCCTGTAAGTGTGCAGTGGTTCTCATCGCAGTTTAGGACCAAGCAGATGCCTTCTCTGTTCAAAAGTATCTGAATGTCACAGTGCCACACCCTCCAGCAAGAACACAGCTCAAGACGCTTCTTTTTCTCTTTTCTGCTTCAAAGAAGTTAGTGGACTGAAATGACTCCAACACCTTTGGTTCCTACACCATCAAACCGGCAGTCAACTCCATGTACACTGTAGAATCATACTTACCACTTAACCCCTCAGTCACCACCAAATAGGCTTTCTCTCTGTCATGTGGCCACCAAGACGCTGTTAAAGCCTTTCCAACTGCCCCCGTAGCAGAGCTGCTTGTAGTCTGCAGTTGCTCTGTTCAGGAATCGCCAAATGCTCATGACAAACTCATTGAAATTTCAGTGTGTTTTAACTTACTTTTTAAAAATGGGCTAGATAAGGTGCTTTTACATAGTCTGTCCTCTCACTCTCCTGCCTCAGCCTACTGAGTACTCCTGATTACAGATGGACACCACTGCACCTGGCCTCTGAGTTTCCCTTAAACACATCTGCGAAGTTTTCCTACTCTTCTGCTGTGCCAAGTACTACAGCAAGTTCAGCATAAACTAGGTGTGGTAACTCATGCCTGTAATCCTAGTACTAGGGAGACTGAGGCAGGAAGACTACCATGATTTCTACTAAGTTCTGATGCTAGTTTAGGCTACATAGTGAACTTCAGTCCAATCTGAGCTGTAGACTGGTTCCCTCCACCTCCACCCCCACACAAATAAAAATGGAGGAGAAATAGCTTTTTGGTGACATTTGGTAAGCTAGTCTCTAGTTCTACTTGATTTATTTAAAAAACATAGCAAAGTAATAAACCCACGTATTTGGCATCTACATTTGTTCAGTGTCTTCATTTGGAAGAGGAGAAAGCCATTCCTGGATTTGTCTGAGTGTCTCTGTATCTTTTACCTTTAGAGGATTGTTTTCTAAGTTTGACTTCTTTATTTATGCTTTGGGCATTTCACATCATGCATTCCAATTCTGCTCACCTCCTGATCCCCCCATATCCTCTCATCATCCCTGCAGCCACCCTCCAAAAGAAAACAAAACAAAGCAAGCAACAAACAAAAAATAAGAACAAACCAAACAAACAAAAAAACAAAACCAAACTCCTCTTCTGTTTCCCCTTCTTCCCTGCTTCTCCAACTCCTCTTCATTCATTCTGGTGGCATTGGGGGCCTTGGTGTGCTATATAGTTATATATACAGTTTGTCCTTTTAGCTTTATTTGTAAATGCTCATTACAATGAGTCACTGTTCTGGTTCAAGGCCTCTGGTTTCTGATACACCATCATCACTGGATCTCCTCTGGGATATTTCTTGGCTACCCCGAGTCTTGGAGATCCTGCGGGTATTATTCCAAAGTACTGGTTCCTTCATGAGCTCCAGCAGGGCCTAGATGGGGGTAGATGCTAGGGTGGGCCAACCCAAGGCTCAGCTGTGGGCCTGGGTGATAGCTGAGCTGGTCAGTCTCAGCTGCTGGGGCCACCCACCTCAGGCAAGGGGGTGGAGTTAGCTCCTCCATGCCTACACCCTCAGGATCGGTTATTCCTCAACTGTGGTGAGGGGTGAGGACATCTCTCCGGAGTACAGGGGCCAGCTCTCACATGAGGGTCATCAGGGCCGTCTCTCTTGTTGCAGTGTCTAGAGAGAGGCAAGGCCAGTTTTCCCCAGGCCAGCACAGGCCCCAGTGGCAGTGTGGCCTTTAGATGCTAACATGGCCCTAGACCTTGGGCATCTGCAAGGCCTTTGATGGTAACAGGAGCCTTGGACATAAGTACAGACCCTGGCTGCAGTAGGGCCATGGACTCTGACATACCCCTCAGCTGCAGCTCTGGCCTGAACGTCATCATGGCATTGAATAGCAGTGCAGGCCACTCAGATCTGCATGCATCATGGCCCTCTGATACTAGCCTGAACTCAGGTGGCTGACCTGACCCTGGGCATCCTCATGGTCCTCTGTGGTAACAGAAGTCACATATGTCAATCCAGTCCCTGGCTGCTATAGGGCCATGGACCCAGACATGACCCTCAGCAGCAGCCTGGGCCTGGATGACACCATGGCCCCAGGTGGCAGCACAGGTCACCCAGATCTATGTAGCCCCTGCTGCAGCACGACCCCCAGACTCCAACAAGACCACTGGCAACCACCTGGGCCTCCAGATGGGCCTTACTGGCAACCTGTGCCACAAACTTCAACATAGACCCCAACTGCAACTGGACAACAGACCCAGACATGGCCAACATCAGCAGCTTGGTTGGTTGACATCCCAGCTCCATGTGGTAGCCACAGCCACTCAGATTAGGATGTAGCCAAAGAGTTTTGGCTCACCTTTTTTGACTTTGTGCTAAAAGGGTATTTTCATATGTTAGGTTTCAGCTTCTTCTGAGTCCCTGGCTTTGACTTCTTCCAAGAATCTCAGGATTTTCCCACTTAGCAAAAATGAAACAACGTTGTTCCTAGCAAGCCACCAGTGACAATCAGAAGGGCAAAGAAAAAAAGTAAAGGTTGTTCTCAAACCTAGTTGCCACGGTCTAACAATACCTACAGGTCCAGGCCAGGTTTTTCTTCAGACTTGAGGGAAGTGTTCACTTTAAATTAAAAAGGGGAGACTGAGTGTTGCTACAACAGCATGAAGATTATCAGGAAACCAAGAACCTATAGCACTTCCCCTTACTGTCCCGCTAACTGGGCAGAGGTTGTGAAGCCCTAGAACAAACCCAGGGCCTCTTCCTGGAGGCGCACGAGCCAAACCAGAGATTAAGGGGAAGCCTTGCGTGCTTGATTCTTCTGGGGTGACAGGAGGAAAAACCATGGAGCCTCTGCTGAAGCAATATCAAAAGGAATTAGGAAGCTGAGTGCTGGCCTAGCATTATGATTCAGACAAACTTCAGAAACAGTTATGGTCTAATTCCACATTCAGATGCCTGCTTCTCTTTGGTTGATTGGAACTGTTGTCTTGAGATTCCCATCAAATCAGTACTTTATCTTGGGAGTCGGGCTCTATGGGCAGCTTCAGATTTAGATAGGAAAAAACAAGGGTGGGCATTATGAGTGTCTGAAGCTGCAGGACTCCGATGATGTGACTGGCACTGTCCACTGTCCGACACATATCCTGATTAACTAGAGGACAGCAATGGCAGCTAAGGAGAGAGCCTTAAGTGCACTGTGATGATCAATCTTGCATTTTCTCTCCCGCCTCACTATCTAGCCCTAGTACTTGATAAGTTAAACAAGGCTGGCCTTGGACTTGGAGTCCTCTGCCCCTAACCTCAGTGTTGGGATTAAAAGTGTGTTCACCATACTTGGCCAGTGGTTAACCTGCTTTCCAAACTGCAGAGACAATGTGACCAGCTGCCTCACACCCACTCCATCTAGCCTTACCCACCATGATAGACTGCACCCTCACACTGAGATAAAAATAACTGTAGTACCCACTTCACACAATTTCAGAACCAATGGACACCTAAAATCTCAGTGCCTAGAAAATGATTGTTAGGACCAGTAAGAGTTTAATCCATATCATTCTCACACATGCATGCATGCAGGTGTGCATGTGTGTGTGTGTGCGCATGCACACACACACACACACACACACACAAAGCTGGACACTATGGTCTATGCTCATATTCATAGCCCCGGGGAGGCTGAGATAGGCAGATCCCTGGGTCTTGCTGGCCTAGACTAATTGTTGAGCCTCAAGCTGGTAAGAGAATCTGTTTCAAAAAATAAGGTGGACAGCACCTGAGGAAAAGGGATATCTCAGTTTGTCCTGTGGCCTCCACATGCAAAATTTATGTGCACCCCATCACACACACACACACACACACACACACACACACACACACCTTCACGCACAGTAACAGGCACACAAACAAATACAGAAAGTGACAATAGCTTTTAATCAGCTCTTTTTGCCTTATATTCAGTAGTAGAATTATAACAGGCACTTAAAAGATTGATTTTGCTAAAAAGAACAGATTCTTCATTTGGGTTCACAAAGTAACTAGGAGTCCAGTGAAAGCCTGACAACTCCCCCTTCATTTTTCATCCACATCTTTTGAGCAATCTGTCTCCCTTTGCATATGGGCATGTTAATTCCTCAAGGAGCATGTGATGGTTTGGATTAGAATTGTACCCCATAGGCTCAGGCATGTAAACACTTGGTCCTCAGTCGGTGACACTGCTTTGAGAGGTTGTGGAGAGATTCAGCCTTGATGAAAGAAGTGTGGCACTGACAGCAGACTTTGAGAGTTTAAAGCCTTGTACCACTTCCAGTTCATTCTCTCTGCTTCCCGCTGATGGCTGAGATGCAGTCAGTCAGCATCCTGCTCCTATTACCACACCTGGCTCTTGATGCTATGCTGACTCCCCACCATCACAGCCTCTAACCCTCTGGAACCAGAAGCCCAAATAAACTCTTACTCTTATATGTTGTCTTGGTCATGATACTTTGTTACAGCAACAGAAAAGTAAGAAATGCAGAGTAGCTGTATAAAATCTTGTACATTTTATAGGTTTTAGATACCTAATCTGTTTTACTAATCCTTCCAGGCTGAAGCCACAAAGTTAAAAGCTAACATCTTAGTCCCAGCTTTCTTAAATGTCATGTTCTGGACTTACAGAGCACAGCTAAAGATATCCAATGGTCCTAAACCTGCAGTTGCCTTGGATTCCAAGAACGTCAGAGCCTTGCTTGCATAACAGACCACCTCTCAGAGAGGACTATCATCTGCAATGCTGAGACTGCACCTTGGAACAGTGTTCCAGGAAGCAAGCAGGACCAACGCTGAGAGCAGTTAACTGTGGCTCCAAGCCCCAAGTGATCCCAACCAAGAACTGCACAATTGGCCACCATCTTTTATTTGCTTAAATGCACCCACACAAGTGAACTTAGCAGTTTAAGCCCTCTTCAAACTCAGCTCACTCCTGTTCTCAATGTCTTAGGAATCTTTCAAAGCAGATTGTGTACATCAAGCCCAGTTAGAATCTTTCCTTGGTAAGACGAGACTCCCTCCAGACTCTACTACTTCTTGTGTCTGGGAAGGAAGCAGAGCCCGTGATCATCGGTAATGCATTGTCTTCCTGTCAGGCTTCCACAGAATTGAATTAGAGAAGAGGAAGAAAATAACTGAAACAGAAAAAAGGAGGAGTGAAACTTTATGGCCACTAGTCAGATGATCCCGCTGTAGTGGAAGGAAACAAGAAAGTCTGATAAGGCCTATGGTGTTTGCTGGTGCTAAACATGAGCACTGGTGAGATATCTCTATGTGTCATGGTAGCTAGTCAGTAGTCTGTTCCATATTTGAGTCCAAGGAAACTGAGGTCTGACAGACCCTACAAGCTTTGAGGATCACAAAGTAGGTTTCCTTGAACTTTTTTATTTTGCAGGCGTAGACAATAGGGTTCATCATGGAGTTCGCATGGGACAACAGGATCCCCAGGCACATTGCAGGCTCTGGAATGTCGACTTTAAAGTAGGACACCAAGTTGATGATGGACAAAGGCAACCAACACAAAGCAAACAAGAAGAGAACCAGAAACAGGGACTTTGCTGTCTTGAACTCCCGTCCGTAAAATGCACGTGTCTCTCTGAAGCCAGACAAGTTCTGACTGAGTTTGTTACGGAGGATGTAGAAGATGTCCAGGTAGATGATGCACATGGCAATGAGGGGGACGAGGATCCAGGTGATGAAACTGAAGAAGACCATGTAATCCAGGCGCACGACCGAACGAAAATGGCATGAAAGGGTGGTAGCATTTGGGGAGAGCCCTGAGGTCTTTTTTTTATTCCAGCCAAACATGGGGGTCAGTCCAACCAGGAAGGATACTAGCCAGCAAAGGCCCAGGGATAGCCATATTCTTCTTTGAGTAGTGACCGTCCTATATCTGTTTGAATGGAAAAAAAGTTGGTGAGGTCACCAAGGAAATGACTAGTTGGGGAAAGGGAGGAAGAGAAAGCACGCTCTCCAATTCTCTAATCTTCTGCTGAGAGATGAAACACCCATAATGTAAGGTGATATTTAAAAAACAACAGCAGCAACAACCTAGGATGATCAGCAATATGTTTCCAAGGGTCAGGTGCCTCCTTGCCTCCATTCAATCATGGCTCCAAGAATTCTTTTTTTTTTAAAGATTAATTCTATTTTATGTGCATGTATGTCTGTGTACCACGTGTATGCCTGGTGCTTAGGGTGATCAGAAGAAATCAATGGATCTCCTGGAACTGGAATTACAGACGATGCTGGATGCTGGGTGCTGGGTGCTGGGTGCTGGGTGCTGGGAATGGAACCTGAGGACTCTGCCAGAATAGCAGGTGCTTTTCTCTATTGAGCCACTGACTAACGCCTCCCTATCCTGCCATGAAAGAGTTACTTAAGTCATGGGGTCCCCAAGCTGATGAGAACCTCCCTAAGGCTTGCTGGTGTGCGGTGTTCTGCACTGTTTTGGTTGACTGGCTCATAAGTTTCCACTGCATCTCCACACTTCTCTGTACCTGTACCTGCTCCATTTTCCCATTTTTCACATGGGCATCTATTCTGGTCTTTGAGTTAATCGATCCATGTTTTCTTAAGGTTATGCTGAAGTGTTTCAGATACTTTCATAGGTTCATTCTGGGGAGTCATAATTTCTCCTTAAACCATACTTCCTAAATAGCCTAAAGCAAACTGCAAAAGAAAGAGACTGATACTTAATGAAACCTCATAGCCTACTAGAGAAATTTTTATGACAATCTCTATTTTACTGATGGCAGTGGCATAGCTACCATTTATTGAACACAGATTTTGTAGTAGGATTTTTCTGAGAACTTTCAATTGATTAACTTTATTGACTTAACCTTAAAAAGATGAAATCTTTTGTAGATTTTATAGTTCTAAAAAACTGGAAAACATCATTAGGTAATGTATAGAAGCAAGAAGCTGTAAAGCTACAATTGAAAAGAGGTAAGCCTGGTCCAGATGCTCGGAACCACTCACATGTGGAGACTGAAGCAGAGAAAGATAAATAACTTTCCCAATGCCAGATCACAAAACCAGGGAGAAGAACCCAGACTTGTTTTCGCCTATAGCTTGTTTGTAGTTTCCTTGCCATGTAGTTTCCCCAAGAGAAACCAGAAGAAACCAGGAAATGTGATTTTTTTTATTGTGCTGTCTGTTCTTTTTGCATGGTCACAGGAAAAGATGCTACCATTTTGCACAGTATTTTCACACATATCACAAAATATTCGTCTCAGAGGTGTTTTGCACTTTATTTTAAAAAAAGAGGAAAAAGAAATATATGTTTTTTTTCATTTCTTAAGATAAGGTTTGCTTTGTAGCCCTGACTGTCTTGTAACTCACTCTGTGGACCAGGCTGGCCTTGAACTCAGAGAGATCTGCCTGCCTCTGCCACCTGAGTGGTGGGATTAAAGGTGTGAGCCACCACCACAGGAAAAAATAAACATTTTTAGAACCTTCACTCAGCATCAGAACAGACTCAGACAGAAGCAACGTTAAAATCTAAGCTACATCTGCAAAGCCACACAGGCATCTGCTTATCTCTTACTACACTTATCTTTCTACTTCTCGTAAGAGAAGATATCCTATCTACTAGGCTCTATCGTTTTGAAAACCAGATCAGATTTTTTAAAACCAAAGATACATCAGACTTTCATCATCTTGGGCTACTCTAGACAGGAGCAGACACCATGGTCATTGGAGAAGAGCTCAGCGTGCCCGTTTCCTATTCCCAAGTCTCAGTTCTTCAATTCTAACCTCTTCTCAAACCATACAGTGCAAAGACATCCACTGCCCTTTGTAAACATCAAGGGCCAGTTCTACTGAGCAGGTCTGAGAGCCAAACTTGGTAGCTCTATTTTCTAGCCATCTCTCTCACTCTGCTGCCCCACCCTTCTTCAAGCAGGTTTACCTGACTGTCAGCTTGACCCGCAGGTATCGGTCTACGGCAATGGCCAGCAAGGACATGATGGAGGCGTGGGTGAAGATCAGGAGCACGCAGGACATGAAAAGGCAGGCATAGAAGTGCATCTCCACTTCCAGGCTGACAGCAATGGCCAAAGGCATGACCAGCACCCCAACAGCAATGTCAGCCAGTGCTAGGGAGACTATGAAGTAGAAGGTGGTGGTCCTGAGACTGGGGTTCAGCTTGACCACCCAGATGACCAGCATGTTGCCCACTACAGCACAGAGCCCGATGACAACCTCCATGGAGATGTAGGTGATCTTCAACCACAACGCAGTTGTGGTATTGTCAGGTTTCATGCTGTCTCCGAGAAGCTTCTCCTGACAGGCTTGTCAGTGGGATATGTATGGGCTGGTGGGCCTAGCTTGTGCCCGACATCTGCCCAGAAGTCTGCATGTAGCAGCAGTCAAGTACTCACAACTCACTCTTTCCTTCCAGTGTGATGCTCTCTTGGAGACTCTTCTCAAAAAAGGGCCTGTTACAGGACCATCAGCTTCAGCCACATATCCCTGGTCTCCTAGTAACCTGGAGGACACAGTTCTATGCGTCTAAGTCTGGAGTACTGCTGTTCTTGCTTCCCCAACACAGTCAAGCTTTCTGCCTTCCCCTGCCCCCCTCAGAGGGCTTTTCAAGCTCCATCAAGATAAGCATCCCTCTTTAGAGTGTTTCAAGAAGTGAGATAGGCCAAGAGGAAGTACAGGGCCAGGAACCCTCAGAAAAAAAAAGGTGGGAAGACCTAGGAAGCTGGCATGAGTCTCATACAGACAGCTCAAAGAGAAGATGAGAGTCGGGGTCTGGTAGTGAAAGCTGATGCTCTCAGTTACATGGAAAGCTGAGGCAGGGAGATCACAGGTTCAAGGCCTGCCTCAGTTACAGAGTGGGGTTAAGGCAGTCTAATTAACTTAAGAGACATATCTCAAAAATAAAACCCTCTCAAGTGGGGGTGTGGGGAGCTAGAGATATGTCTCAGTGTTAGAATGATTGCCTAGCATGCATCAGAGCCTGGGTACCACCCCGTCACAACACACACACACACACACACACACACACACACACGCGCACACACACACGGACCAGATGAGTGTAGGGACAGAATTGGGTAGAAGAAGGAATGGAAACACTGAATATGTAATATTTCCACCCCCTGCCTAATTAGCAAGGAGTGGCAAAGAACTTTGTTGTGACAAAGAAAGTGGTGGCAGCACATGCCTTTAATTCCAGCACTGGGGAATCAGAGGCAGGCAGTCACCATGAGTTTGAGGTCATCCAAGTCTACCTAAAGAGTCCAGGTCAGTCAAGGACAGACTCAAAACAATTTGTACACACACGCACACACACACACACACACACACACACGTGTGTATACATAGATTATAGATATGCTTGTATATATGTGTCTGTGTGCATGCACATATGTGTGCAGGTGCCCATGGAGGCCAGAAGAGGGCATCAGGTCTCCCTCTGCAACAGCAGCAGACACACTTGAACCACTGAACCATCTCTCTAGCCCCAATGTTTAAGCTGGTTGGATTTTGTTGCTGTTGTTTGTTTCTGTCTTTTTTTTAAAGGGTTATTTATTTATCACATATACACTGTTCTGCCTACATGCCAGAAGAGGACACCAGATTGAATTGTAGATGGCTGTGAGCCACCATGTGGTTGCTGGGAATTGAACTCAGGACCTCTGGAAGAGCAGCCAGTGCTCTTAACCTCTGAGCCATCTCTCCAGTTATTTGTTTTTGTTTGGTCTGACTTTTGTTTTTGTTTGGAAGGTTTCAACAGCCTCTCTTGTGGCCCTTCATCTTACTTCTGTTGTAACTGCTTTCGTTATCTCTCCTGCATTAGAGGAAGTTACCAAGTGGCAAGAAATCAATCTTACCAAAATCAATCTGAATCTCGCTTGCTTAGTTACTGTAAAAAAAAAAAGTCTCCATCCTTTGACACTCAGTACACAAAGCAACTTCATGTGAGAGAAACACCTTCCTGGGCATAGGGTGATTCACATTGCCTGGGTATTGTGGCAATTGTATACCAAAGAGCATCTTTCTGGAGAGGTTCAGCATCTCCAGGGTGCCTGGAAGTTCAGCTTTAGGAGTGAGTATAGAGAGTGGAGCTGGTGGAGATCAGTCTTCCATCTCTATTTAAGGCTTCTTGGTCACCAATGGGCAGCTGCTACATTAACAGCAGCAGAAACAAGATGGCAGTCCACGTTTTGTTACAACAAAAGCTGAGCAAACAGGCTGGAGAGATGGCCCAACCGTTAAGACCCAGGTTCAGTTTCCAGCACCCAAATGTTAGCTCACAACCGTCTGTAACTGCAGTTTCAGTGGCTCAGGCACCCTCTTCTGCACTCCAAGGACAGCTCATACATGCCATACACAGACATCCATGAAAGGAGAAACATCCATACACATACAATAGAAATTTTTTTAAGCTGAAAGGAAACGAAGAAGGTGGCAGGGCCCAGGAACACAGTTTTACCCACCGGAAGTATGAGGACATAGTTAAAGGATGTAGTTAAAGGCAGGTGGATCTGAAAACCTGGCTATCTGTGCTTTCTGCCGTCCCCTCCTCCCTTCATTCTCACGCAGAAACTGAGTTCTTTTGAAGCCAATTCATTTCCACTGGGTTGGGGAAGTCGATGGGATGGCCCAAGTCTAAGACCACACAATCTGTGAAAGACTAATCCACCCAGTGAAAGGGACACACATACGGCCACAACACAGCCACCTCGTCCTACCTAGAAACATTACTCCCAGAGGTCTCTGCAATGCCTTGGGAGTTTCCTTGAAGAACAAAAGCCCTTCTTGTTTTCTGAATAAACAGAGCCTCCTGCTTGGTGTATGACTGAGCTGTCTGTTCGCTGGAGATTGAAATCCAAAAGGCAGTCTGGGAAAGGAGGCAGAGACCAGGACAGGCAACAAACCTCTTCCCTCACTGGTACCCATGGGCCCATGCCCTCCCACCCCCTATGATCAAGTCCTGGTTCCTTGAAATTGCTTTCAATGCAAGGACCAGGGAGGATCGTGAGGGTTCAGCCTCCACAGGCTCCTGCCATCTGCGTCTCTCTCAGAAGCCAGAAGCAGCACAACAGCAGTTCATGGCTTGGCCATTCCGTTTCCCTTCCCCTCTGGTGCACACTCTCTTGGTCTAGCTGGAGGGCCTCTTTCTTGGTCCACCTAGGAAAATAAAAAGTCTCCCTTCAAGATAGTTCTCCAGCAAGGCCTCGAAGGAAACTTCCTACATCACCTCTCTCATATGCGGGTCCCACCATGCTGCCTTCACAGCCTGCCTCCCCCATCCCTACCCTGTGACCCTGTAGTTTCCTGAGACCAGACCAGAACTTTTCATTTCTGCACCACAGTGCCTGGCAGACAGCAGCGCACTATTGCTAGGTGAATGGTTAGAGACACTCTTAGCAAGCCAGGAGGCAGAAACTTGTCACTGAGTACCCAATGACAGAAACCCTCAGCTAGGGCCTGTTAGGTACTCTCCAGGACACCAGTTACGGGGGGCTGGTGTGTGTGTGTGTGGGTAAACATCTTATTATTCGTAATCTCATTTAATGTCTTCTGGGGCCTGGGGGAGACACTACTTATTAATGGTGAGCAAACAGAGCCTCAGAAAAGTTAAATAACCTGGCCCAGAGAGCACAGTTAGGAAGTGACAAGCTTGGCATTCAAACCCACATGGCAGCCTCAGAACCCATGTTCTGAATGGTGGCCCTCAGAAAGTGGATAAGCAAATGACCAACCACAATATGAAACTGTCACAAGTACAAGGAGCCTCTTGTTTTGATGTCACTATTATCATCAATACTAGGAAGAAACTAGCATAACAAAATGAGGTGTCTAGACCACCAAGACCACGAGAGGAAAGCACACATGTGAAGTAGATTCAGTGTCTTCTGAGTCAGGAACAGATGGTAGGACCAGAGAAAGGGCTACATAAGCAGGCCAGCCACTGGTGAAGCTCTGGGTCACATCAAAGGCCAAAAAGTCAGTTTTAGATAGTGAACCGAAGAGTAAGTGAACTGGGGCTCGTATTTCCTTGTCATTCTTTCCCATCTAAAAGAAGGTCATCGTGATTTTCAGTTCTCCTGGAAGAGCCTGATCTCTTCCGGGGAATTAAGGATGGGCTGGAGAACCATCAGTCTAATGAAGTGATGGGAATCCCGGAAAAGGCCTCCCAAGCTCTGGCCCGGAGCAACGGAGCACCGTCAGTCACGGGCTGCATAACACCTTGAGAAGGCTGACCAGAGTGAGAAGACTCACGACTCTTTCGTAGTGTCTCAGAAAAGCCTAGAAAACTTCAGTTGCCAGCCTTCAACAGCAAGGCACAGTAGCAGGAGATCAGGGTTAGGTCTCCGGAACCCAGAACTGGCCCACACCAGAGCCAAGACAGGATGTCAGGCAGCCCAAAGGTGGAAACCGCTACTCAGAGCTCTCACTGACTCGTTGCGGGCATACGTGCATAAAATCGTTCTACTCACTTCCTCTTGACACAATTACCACTTCCCCCAAAGCCTTATACTTTTACAGATCTTTCTGTGTGCCAGTGAACAGCAGGGGCTTAGAAGGAACCAGTGCTAGTCATCCATGAAGCTGCCTTCTCCTTTCCCCTCCTCTAACATGCTCCCCTGCCCCTCTCTGTCGGAGGGAAGATGCTAAATCTTTCCGGCAGCTTCCCACAGGCACTGTTCTAAGCTCCCAGGCTTTTCTTAGGACTAGGTCAAGACCCCTTCAATTTACAGGGCCAGGAGTCAATGCACAGAGCTTGCTATGTATCAGTGAAAGTGAGAGGTAACGATGAGGCCCAGAAACCCAAGTCAAGGTTCCTGTAAGCAGAGTTGCAGGAAATCCTGCTTTGGAAAAGGAAACTGCTCCATCCTAGGCGCCCACACCCTGACTATCCTATCCCAACCCATCCCAAGTGAGCCAGGCCTTCAAGCCCAAGAGAGAATATAGAGGGTTCATCTGCCCCTAATGTTCTTTCAGATTATAGGCACTCAAAACGTGATCACGCCTTTCAACTAGCTATGTCTTGCAAGGGTAGGGGTAGAGCATCAGTTTCAGTGAGATCTGGCTAAGGAGCTATGCTCAGATTCGACCACCAGGTGGCAGCACATTTCCATCGTCCACTGGAACACAGAGGTTCCCTCAAGGAAAGAAAACGAGGAGAGCTTAAAGCTGGCTTTAGGATCCAGAGTGGGGGTGTGTAGCACGTGGACTCTAGCTAGACTTATGAAAAACTAACTACTCACAGATGGTATGTTTGATGAATGGGAGAATATGAAACCATAGGAAAATTATAGAAGTAAACTACATAGATGGTAGGGTCGTTGAATTGTGGCTGAGAATATCATTATTACGTTTTTTTTTAATTTGGAATTTTCTATAATTACATCTTAAATATGTGTCGATTAAAATCATTATACAATTAGAAATCATTATACAATTAAAATCATTATACAATTCTTGGGCTGGAGAGATGGCTCAGTGGTGAAGAACAGTGGTTGCTCTTCCAGAGGTCCTGAGTTCAATTCCCAGCAAACAACCACATGGTGGCTCACAACCATCTTTAATGAGGTCTGGTGCCCTCTTCTGGCCTGCAGGTAGAACACTGTATACATAATAAATCTTTAAAAAATAACCCCAACTTTTAAAGCTGGCTTTAGCCAGCCAAGCACCTCAGGCTTGCTATGGTGAGAAGCCAGGGCTAGGGGAAGGCAGGAGTGAGGAGCTGCCTGTGGTCAGTCCAGTGCATTCCCACACAGTACTGAGATCCTCTGGACTCAAAAAGGCTGGCAAACACCATGCATCCTAACAAAAAGTTTGCTTTCTGCTCTACAAAACAGAGACAATTACCCTCACTTCACAGAGAAGGAATCTGCTTAGGCCCGTTCTAGTAAAGAGCCCTTTCCAGAATGGAGACCTGCCCTGTCTGGTCTCCCGACATAACGACAGGGAGGACTCAGGAGGGGTCTGCTGCCATGAGATGTCGGCCTAAGGGGGGGTCTCACTGGGGTGGTCCCTCCCTTAACAGCCTCCAGACCATAACCTATCCTCCTGTGGGCACAGGGCCCTCTGGTCACTCGCCTTTTCTAGAGAGCATCCTTCTAAAGCCCATGATTTCTCCAAACGTCCCTGGGCCTTCTCATATCCCAGCCTCAGGTGTTCATTTACCCATGCTGGCTTTTTTTCCCCACTCAAGTCAGGGATCCCCGCAGAGTCTGCCACACACACATCCTCTGATTTTACACAGGTCAACTCTGGGTCCTGATGTCACTTTCAGTGCCCTTTCTGTAAACACTAGTAGGTGCAGGGTTGAACTCAGAGTAGAACTGCCAGTTGTAGATATTTGCTTCGGGACTATGCCCTGGCCCCATCTTGGTTTTTGGTTTTTCGAGACAGGGTTTCTCTGTATTGTTTTGGAGGCTATCGGTCCAGCCCAGCCTCGAACTCACAGAGATCCGCCTGCCTCTGCCTCCCGAGTGCTGGGATTAAAGGCGTGCGCCACCACCGCCAGGTTACCCCGGCCTCATCTTAACCTAACCTATCCTTAATGAATTAGATGCAGATCTCCCTGCTACAGCAAGAAATCTGCAGTCTCAACTGCTTTGATGACACGTTTTCCCCTCTTACTCCACAAGGCCCTGCTGTGGGAACTCATTCAGCCAATAAGGTCCTTCTATAATTAGTGCATAAAATCTGCCATTGATAGGATGTTAACTGACACATGCCAGGCTCCTTGATACAAGTTTTATTCGTATCACTTACAATCATTTGCCAAACCTAGTAGTATGTAAGGCTAACCCATTTCACAAGCAAGGAAACCGGGGTTTGATGAGAGGTGACTTTTGGCTAGCGAGTGGCGGAGCAAGGATCTGAACCTGCGCTCCAAGTTTAAGGGCGCCGTCGATTACAGTGGGAAATGTGGCAGGACTATGAAGCAGTCAGTCATTTCACCCACACTTGGAAAGCAGAGATGACGAGTGCTCATTCTCAGTGACCCCCTCCCCCCACATTTCACTCAGTCCTGGATGCCACACAGAATTGTGCCACCCACAGCCAGAGGGGGTCCTCTTAATCTAGAAACTCTCACAGACATGCTGAGAGGTTTATCTTGTATGTGAATCTAGTTTGTCAAGTTGACAGTCTTCATTTCACAGAGCTAAACTGAGTTTCAAACCCAAGCCCTTTCTGGTGAATTATGAACGAATAGGCCAACATCAATTATACCAAACCTAAACTGCCATTGGGCAGAAACTCTTCATTGTCTGAGTGGGTGTGGGTGATCCGTGGGTTGGACCAGCCACTGGGAACAGGACATTTTGCCAGTTTTCTGGTTTCTGGCTCCTCGACTGAGGTTGCGGGGTGGTGGAAGCCAGCCAGCCAACCCTCCCTCATTCCTCTCCACTCCACACTCCTACTTCCAGTCCATGGTCAGACAACATCAAGAAACCACATTACTTTACTGCCTGCTGAAGTGTCCTCCTGGATAACTTTATTTCCCTCGGCTTTTCATTAAAGCTATTACACAGAGTATGTCTCAGCATTTTATTATGATTAAAGATACTATGTTGTTATTGCCTATATTGAGGTTTCAGGGGCCGATTTCTCTAAGGAGTTTAGTGCTAGGGAGGAGGCTGCTTTTCTCACTGCTTCGGCTGCTCTGCTCACCAGATTGATAAAGAGCGTCACGTAGGTCACTTCTGATGGGCAGCCAGGAGACTTAGCGGAGCAGCCCAAGCCAGGCTGTTTCAGCAATCATGTTGCACTTAAGGCTTTCTAGAAAATCTATATGCATCATCTCAATTTTGGGCTCCTAGTGTCTTTTAAAAATAATTTTTATTCTTATTTATGTGCATGTATGCACGCACTGTGACAGAACCATAGAGATCAGAGGTCATCATTGAACCCCTTGCAGCTGGAGTTATGAACCACCTGATGTGGGTTTTGGGAAGTGAACTCAGGTCTTCTGAAAGAGTGGCAAGTATTCTTAATCACACCAAGTCAACTCTCCAGCCCTGGCTCCTGCTGTCTCAGTTGTCATGTCCTGTTCCTTTAAAAGTGTCACGTGCTTTTTGGAAGGAAGCAAGTCACAAATAATGAGCACATAGAGGGAGCATTAGTGTGTGTTTCCAGTGCACTATAGGGATCTGTGCAATCTTTAAGAGAAAACACCCGTCCAGAGCAAGTATACACACTTGTAGTTCCAGAACTAGGGAGGCAGAGGCAGGTTGACCTTGGTGAGATCAAAGCCAGCTTGGACTGTGTAGCAAGTTCAGGCCAGCCAAGGTCACAAAGAAACAAGAAACAAAAGGAAGGCAGTATCACACAGCTTTGTCATTTAAAGTGTTTAGGAGAAGACTCAGTGTGGAGTACAGATGCCCGTATCCAGGACAGGCCTCAGAGGAAGAACTCATAACCGCATGTACAAACCACTCCCAGGAAGGAGCGAAGTCACTGCCAGGCAGTCAGACGCTGTCTACAAACCACTCCCAGGAAGAAGCAAAGTCACTGTGGGCAGTCGGTGGCTCCGCTCTCTGAACAGGGTCCCACTTCAGCCTACGCAGGCCTCTCTTTGAGTCCTCTATGCCACTTTGGAGCTGTTTGTTTATATGCTTCTCCTACTAGCATATATGGTCAACTTCTTGTTCAATTTTGGACCCCACTCCCATTGCCTTATCCTAAAAGCACCAAGAACCTAAAAGAGCACCCTGTGCGTGCAAGACCTGCCTCGTGTTCAAGCTGAATATGTATAACACATTAGTTTCAGGTCTGTCTCCTTGTGTGCTCACCATGTCACCGTGTTCAGTAGGAACTGGGAGGAACAAAGAAGGCCTAGTGTTTGTTTGTTGCATCTTTTCACTTCAATCCTAAAGTAGTGCAGGTAGAAAATATCATGTGACTTACTTAGGTCTAGATAAGAGGCCCTTGGAGAGAATGCGTAACAAAACCGTGTGTGGCTTCTACGTATTGGGTTCATTCTCTCATCACTGGTATTTGTCTAATATGATGCCACGGGCACCCTGTTTCCTGCCCTCCGTGATCAGCGCTCCTTTATTCGTTGTGTTGGTCCTGTTTTCTTGTCTTCTTCATGCTTTCCCTGTGGGTCCCAGAACTGCTTCTGGCGGTTTGTGGCTTCACCTGCGCCTGTTGCCACACTCATCACTTTCGCCCCAAATTCATATTCACAGTGAATCAAACATGTGAAGAAACTGATACCCGCGGAGTGGCCGATTCAAGGTCGAAACTGGGACACAGTCTGCCTTCGTGGCTAGCTAGCAATTTTAACTCCTCTCCCACTCTGGTGCCCTCCTCTCGGAACCCCCAGCCGAACACCCGGGGGCCACCCAACCAAGCACCCGACTAGTGCTTTCATCTGACTCTCTGCACCTATTTCCTAGCTGCTCTGCCTGTCCTGCCCATCCAGGGTAAGTGCCAGCCAGTCACATCACCTGGCATCGGCAGCACCTTCCAGACCTTCAGCCCTCAAGGCTGTGTCAAGAACCCTCAGCCTCAGTGGGATGCCTGCGGTGTCTCCTGTCCCACACGATGTGCACGCTGCACATCTGCCTGCAGGTGTCAGGTCTGCCCCACTGTTTTCATACCCCCAGGCCCAGCCCTGGAAGAAATCGCTATGAGCTGCCAGCACCGAACTCAGAAGCTGAACATGCCACGCCTTGTTTTGTGAGCTCTTTTTTTTCTAAGTGGATAACCTTGGCCACGTTGCCTAATCTCCCATGTCTTAATCTCCTCTTTGGGGAAGGAGGGGAAGATGATTCTCTGGACGCTGAATGAAGTAAAAAGGGCCGAACAGCTGGAGCAGGGTCCTGACCAATCAGGTAGTTACCAGAATCCTACATCCATGTTCTTCCTTGTGAACCTCGCTGGCGTCCAGCCAGTGACTCCTCAGGAGGTGCTTGGTGGGTGGAGAACCAACAGAAGGTCTTCCTATACCTACTGACCCTCTGTGCGCTGCAGGCTTGCTAGGCACCTGGGGGTTTCCCTGGGATCCAGCTCTTGTCTTTTGCTGGAAAAGCTCCTGGCTCCAAATCCTCTGTCGGTCCTCTTAGCTTTCGAAACTGGACTCACCCAAGGGCGACGGCAGGAAGGCAGTGACGTCTTCTTCTATCTTTTCCACTTGCCAGGAAGCGAGTAGCTTGTCAGCATGAAGAAGCTTGTGCCAGAGTTCAGCCTTGGCCCCACCCTCCTTTGCAAGCCTCCGAGGACAGCCTGGGGGTCTGACTGCAGGCAGTTTCTAGACAGGCAGGAAAAAGCTCCTGCAGCTGCAGGGGCCCCTCAGTTGCTGCAGGTGAAACCTTCCCAGGGTTATCTCAAGAGTCAGCCCTGTTCCGAACCATAATCACAGTTTCTGTGTCTCACCCGTCACTCATTGTGGAGGGCCTGGCAGAGTGCTTGGCACTCTTCACTGCTATAAAAAGGCCACCTCCAGGGCAGGGTGTGAAGGTTACTGAGTATTGTAGTCACCTCCTGCCAAAATAGCTGCGTGACCAACGTGAAACACACGGCACACAACTTAGGATCTGATACACATTAGGTTCATTTGTATTTGCTCTTGATCCCAAATACCACACACTCTCTAATCTCTCATTAATCCTGGAATAGCTCCTGATTATGAAGAAGCAAAGAAACAGAATGCTTTATCCTCAGAGTAAGACTGTTTAGTCATGCCCAGGCCTCCAGGAGAATGCCTCTTTCTGCCTGGTCCCTCCGAGATGACTTAACTGACCCATTCCGGGCCCTCCCAGAGGGAAGTTAGATAGATGCTGCTTCAGTGGCCATGACTTCACCGGGGTCAGCAGAAGTCTAGGTCACTGCAGATGGTCCAGTCTCTGGTCCTTGCCAACCCTCGCCCTCCCCCTATCTAGTGCCCATGACTGGGGCTTTTTGTGTTATCCTAAAGTTGGCACTCTCTCGTTTCCTGACAATAATGCTGGCTGTTTTTTTCTGAGCAAATGGAACAAATGACCGATGTGAACCTAATGCAATCTGCAAACTGGAAACATCTGCAGGGAGGCAAGGGCAGCTGCTGGCTGGGAAGGGCTACAAGGCCCTCCGAAGGTCCACAGAGGGGCAGGCTGCTCCAGAAACCTGCAGTCAGGTCCTTCAGGAGAAGGAAAGTTCTTTAAGGGCATGGCCCCTGGAAGGTCCACCACAGTCCAGTGGATGGACCCACATCCGTGAATATACAGATAGCAGACTAGACTCAATGGGTTAGAAGAATACATTTTTAAAGGATATGAAGTTAGGAGGGGGTGGAGTGGGAGCAGACTTGGAAGAAGTTAGGGGGAGAAGTAGGGAATGAATGTGATCCAAATACATTGTGTGTGTGTGTGTGTGTGTTTCTCAAAATTTAATAAAAACCATTTTAAAGGGTTAGCTCACAACCTGCCTCTCTTTTCACTTACAGAAGATGAGCTCCACATCATGTTTTGATCAAATCAAAGGAGCTACAAAGTCCCTCCCCTAAACACCATTTATATGTTAGATGTGGCAAAGCTGAAGTGACTCTCACTTCACAGACGACAGCAAAGACCCAAAGAGGAAACAGGTGCAGTGAGAAACAAGCCGTCTACGCTGGTGCTGAACAACTGCCTACCCACAGTGAGTCTGTGAGGGTACGGGCAGGAGGGACACGTGTTCCTGCACATTCTCTCTGTCTCTGTCTCTGTCTCTGTCTCTGTCTCTGTCTCTGTCTCTGTCTCTGTCTCTCTCTCTCTCACACACACACACACACACACACAATACACAAATCCTGCGTCACCTCCCTTAAAGTTGTTACAAGGCAGTCATTCCTTCCTTAAAGGCAAGAGCCTAAGGCTAGTTCTATGCAGTAGTACAGCGGGCTCTTTGTAACTCCCAGCTCTCTGGGCATGACATAGTGCATCCTTAACCATCCCCCCCCTTTTTTTAATATTTTATTTATTTATTATGTATACAGTCTTCTGCCTGCATGCCAGCAGAGGGCACCAGATCTCACTCAAGGTGGTTGTGAGCCACCTTGTGGTTGCCAGGAATTGAACTCAGGACCTCTGGAAGAACAGTGCTCTTAACCTCTGAGACATGTCTCCAGCCCCCATCCCGTTTTTTAATGGTCTGTTGCTAGCTATTCCTTGATTCGTGGTACGTGGAGCCTATCATTCACTTCCTAACATTGGCATCACGTCAAGATGAGTAGCTTCTCCCTGGTGGCTTGGCTAGCAACTGCATGAGTCAGCCAACCCGAGGCACTCTCACATCTCTGACCACTGTGCCTGTCTGCCCGGAGCAGATCATTTAATCCAAATGCAACTTTGAAAGCTAGATTGTCTTCAGTTCTACAGTAACCGAGGTTGAGCATCAAAAGCCTGGATTCAACAGAAAGATAGCCTAGAGCTAGCTCTTTGACTGCAGAGGGCATCTCAAAGTCCAAACCTATTTCTCAACACGGACCCTGACATGGAAAGGATTTTCTGAAGGTCACCCGGGAAGTCACTGTAGGGGGGGACACAGATGAGCTTGTACTGCTTTACTTCACAGGAACTTCTCAAACCAGGACTGCCACCTGCTAAGAACTGAGCTGCGTTCCCTTGGGCCTTAGCAATGAAGTTCTAGTTTCTAAACTATTCTCTGCCAGGCCTCAGGCTGCATGTATGATAAGAGAAGGAGAGAGAAAGAGAGAGAGAGAGAGAGAGAGAGAGAGAGACAGACAGACAGACAGACAGACAGACAGACAGACAGACAGACAGAGACAGAGATACACAGAGAGACACACAGAGAGACGGAGACAGAGATCTTTGAAATCAGAAGAGGGTGAGGCTCCATGATTCCTGATAGAAGTTGGGGACCGTATCAGTCTCAAGAGAACACTAACAAGAAGGGCCCTGCTGGGAGGTCACCATCCCTTGTACCAGAGGCCATAGGCATGCAATATTGCAGGCAGCCATTGGGTGCCAAATGCACTTCAGGGTCTCCACTATGTACGGAGGTCTCAAAGGCATCAACAGAAACTCTGAGGTCTCCGAGTAGTTTACTGCTGTGGCAGCCCCTCAGGAGCCAAAGTGATCTCAGGTCATCTCCTTTGCACATCTCCTGTTGTGAATGGTGGAGAGAATGGGGCTGTTTGAGGATGCTGGTGGTACACCAGGCCAGACATACTCCCCCAGAAATCAGTGACACTAGAGGGACAGGTGCTCTCACAGAACACAGAGGGCAGTCCAGCCTGGTCCCAGATAGGGGAGCTCCCTAGAGGACAGACCAGCTGACGACACTGAGGTATTCTTGTATTTGTCTGGATGCCACAGACTGGGTCACAGCATTCCTAAGGGGCTGCTCTGGCTACCTCCCCGCTCTGAGACCAACACCTAGACCTGAAGAGATGGGACTCGTCCACACTGCCCTGTCATGAGCCCAGCCCGCCAGAGTCAGCACCATTGGATTCCTCCTTGGCTTTTGTCATTACCCATACAGAGACAGCCCTCCCCTCCCACAGCCTGGCAGGTTGTGCCAGAATTGGTCTACCAAGGAAGCAGAGGACACAAGCCAAAAGGAAGTCACAAAGATCAGCTTAAAAATAACTCTCTCATGTCAATCATGAGGAGCAGCTCGCAGAGAAGCCAAGTTCTGAGGGCAAGATAGCCCAGGGTAATGTCAGAAGGGCTCTACAGCAAATCAGCAGAGGTTGGGTTTGCAGCCCCCCACCTTCTTATCAGCTTGGGCAAGCCACGGCCTGAACCTCTGCGCTCCTCAGACACTTCCGCCCAGCCAGCATCTGTTTCCTCCCCTATATTTAAAACCAGGTTAGTGAGCTCTCAATGCATTTTTCTGCCAGGGTTGAGCAGAGCCTTCCACAGAACACATGGCCCACATTGTAGCGTGTTCTATTGCTGCCCAGCTTCTCTGCTGGGTATGCCGGGCCCAGGCATCCCGAGACAGTTTCCAGCTTAGTTATTTTGTGGTGCATGCAAGAAGCAGAGCTGGAGGGAGGGCGGGCAAGCAGCTGGGAGATGGACCCAGATGCTGACCTTTCGCTATGGTTTGACTTTGAAATATCCCCACAAGCTTTTACTCCCTGCCTTCCCAGCTTGTGATGCTAACTTTAAGGCGAAGGGCCTAGGAGAAACCTGTTCAGCTTTAGTAAATATGTCAGTGTGGCTGGACCTTTGAAGGTTACACCTACCCCAGGTTCCACATAGCCACTGTTTCATATGAAGACTGAATTGTCTTGCTGCTGCCACAACTTCCCTGCCACAGTGGCCTGAAACCCTTCTGAAGCCATGAGGCAGACCATTATTTCCTCCCTAAGTTCTTCTCTTAGGTATGTCATTGAAACAATGGGCAAAGTAACCAATGCATTTGTCCAACACCAGGAGAGGCAAAGGGGCCCTGCAGGACACCAGAAATGCAGATGTCATCATCTACTGCACGATTATAAGGGTTCCTGGTGCAGTCTCCTCACGGCCAGGCCCTTGGGACCTTTGGCTATTCCTGGCATCATTCCCACTCCACTAAATAGAGGAGTTTGGAGGAAGGCCACCACAGTTCTCCAGTTCTACTCTCCAGGTTATTCAGGTCATTGTGGCCCTGTCTCAGCACACAAAACACTTGCTGGGAATTGTCACCAGAACCTTCTGGAAGATCTCCCCTTGTGGTGGGAAATAATACAGAATAATCTGAGAGCCCACATTCCTTGTCTTCGGCCCTCAGGTCTCAGACATCCCGAAGAAATGTGCTCTGTGGGTGACTGTATGCTGCCTGACATTGCAGGGTGACTTGCCTGGACTCAGCAGTTGTCATTGGAGTAAAGCAGAAAGGACTCCTGCTAGCAACCTCCTGCTCTTGTCGCCACATATCCAGGCTGCCTGCTCCAGCCAAGACACAGAGGCTGGGATTTCACACTGTCTTCTTTGCCCTAAACATAGAAACCTCCTAACTTGTTAATGTTTTATATTCTGGGAATTGGCCCTAAGTTGAGCATTGCTGAATTTCGGCCCATGAAAACACAGGCTGGAGTTACACTGGGGATTCAAAAACCCAGCTCTGCCCTTCTGCAGCTGTGTGATCTTAAATGAGTTGGCTAACTATTGTGAGCCCATTTCCATAACTGTCAAATGAGACTCATAGAAATGGCTAATAAAAGCCACTTCAAAGGGGTGTGAGAAAAGCCATGGAGATGGCATTTATGAACACCCGGTTCCTTGCCACCGGGTCCTCTGATGCGTTCTACGGTGGTGTGGGTTCCTTGTTTGTTTGGTTTGTGTCCCCTTCACACACCATGTTAAGTACTTTAGAGTTTCTTATTAAAACCCCTGTTCTTCTGAGCTGACAAGATGGCTCAGCAGTAGTGGCACTCATGGTGAAGCCTAACTGGAGTTTTGTCCCCACATAGCAGGAGAGAATTGACTCCTGCAGGTTGTCCTCTGACCTCCATACGTGTGCTCTGGCACAAGCATGCCTGCACATACTCAACTACAAATAAACAAATGTTAGAAACAACAGCAGCAACAACAACCCATTTCCTCCCAATAGTCTCCCTAACTACTGTCCTGCAAGAATAGCAAGTATCAGTTGAACACTTGCTATGCTGTGCAGACTGACCCTTCACATGCCTCAGCGTATTTCCTATGAGGCAGGGTTTTTTTTTTTTTGAGGCAGGTGTTATGGTGGCCATAATACCTATATTGTGTAGACAAGTGGGCTGAGCTAAATGTCTTTCCCAAGATACGTATATAGTCAATGGTAGAGTCGGGCCTCAGAGCCTCCACTTGAAACCTCTTGGATGGCCTGTGCTGCAGTCGGATGCAGTGCAGGGTACCACTGATGAGAGATTTTTTTTTATTGAACTCTACCCAGAAGTGGATGGTGCTTACTTTTCCAGTACCTGTTTTGTTTGTTTTTTATCAAACCATACTAAGCTGATCATTTGCTGATGACAGTACAGTTGATTTGGCACCTACCAGTCTTGTGTCAGACTCTAAATGCACCTAAGCCAGGGGGTTTTGTTGTTTCCACTCTACTGCCTGTTTGGACCAAGTAATTCTTTTTTGTGAAGGTAGATGTCTACTATGAGCTACTGGGTTACTGGGTGTTACCATCACCCTTGACTTCTACCCAAAATACCAACAGCAGTCCCTGCTCCCAATCAATATGTCTTCAGATATTGCCAAATGTTTCAGAGTGGGGTGCAAAATCACTACTGTTTGGGAAGGGCTGTTCTGAGCACAAAGTCTGAACTTGACAGTGCTTAGACTGTTTCCCCAAGATCACCAAGCCTGGCAGAGCCAAATCTGAACCAAGGCCTAAATGTTTACTCTGGAACCATGCTTTCAGTTCCTAAATAAAGAAAACTCAAACATGAGACTGCAATGTATTTGCCAAAAAAACAGTAGTATAAATGCGCCAGGATCCCCTCCCCTAGCACTGTTCAAATTCACAAGTTCTAGCCACAGCTTGCCAGAGCATGATCTAAGTATAAGACGTTGAAAGGGAAATCAACTGTGGAGTGTGAGTGAGGCTATCCTGCCAACCCCAGAGTTAAGCTGTCGTTTACAACCTTGGGTCCCTCAGGTGTGCCACAAGGTCTGGCCTGAGCATCCATCTATCCTGCTGGTTTTTTCTAGGATCACTATGAAGGTCTTGGGAAACAATGACCATTCTTAACTTTCACATATTCGGCCACCGTTTAAAAACAAACAAGCAAACGCCAATGCTGGAGCCCTCACTCTGACTTCTGCTCCAGTTTCATCTCTGTTTGGTTGCAGACTGTTTATGAAAATCTGACATGAATGACTCTAGATGAGGTCCCACCTTATAGCCCAGCTCTCTGCCTTGCTTTGCCAAGTCTAGGACTACAGGCATGTGCCACCATGCCCAAGCTAATTCGGACCTAATGTGCAAATTACACCACTGCTCATGACAGAGAGATGTGTAATTGAAGAGACCGCTAGGCACATAATTATCAAGTTACAGGAGCAATTCATGGCAAAATGAGGCTATCCCAAGCCTAAATTTCTTTCATTGCTGTTTTTTTTCTCTGCTTCCTCCACTGGTTTCATGACTTTTCTTCAGTGGGCCCTGTTACACACAGGGAGAGTCATGCACTGCATGCTCATTAGCAAGCCAGAGCTCCTTCCATTCCATCTTCAAATATCAAGGGCAAAATTAGCAACAAATGCAAGCAAATTCTCCAGGAACCGCTAAGTTGTTTCAAAGATGGGATTATTGCTGGAATCAGCCTGCTTCTGTCTATGTGAGAAACAGCAGCGGGGAACAGGTGACTAAAGTCCGAAGGCCTTGACCACCTTTAACAACTGTGCAGTCGTCAACCAGGGAGCCCCACCTCAGTATTCCTGAAGAGCCCCTCTTGTGTCTCCCTGACTCCTCACCATGAAAAGTTCTGATGATGAAATCAAGTGATGATCTCTTAAACAGATCAGATAGTGACAAGAGAGAGCCTATGATCCAAGAATTTGAAAGACTGGAATTCTAAGTATGTTAGGGCATTTCTCAATTGCATGGACAGTAGAAAAGAGGAAGATTTGTGCTCATGACACAGGCACTGCCTCAGCAGGACTTGTCCATGAAGCTATGAGGCTGTTTCCATGAAACCTTTTGTTTTGCAGATACGTCTTAAGATGGTGTTTTCAAACTGCAGCTATCAAACCCATTACTGATTGTGAAGTCAAACTAGTGGATCATGACCATGGTGTATTTTCAGTTGAAGTGGAAGAAAGTGGTACGTCAGACTCTACCTCACCTAGTAACCGTTGTTACTGTTTGGACTGTATGATTGTTAGTATCTGTCTAAAATTAAATTTTCATTTTAAGCTTTTATTGAAGTGCAACACACTACACACCAAGCACACACTTTGGTAAATTGTGACATCTGTTCATACCTGTGTAAACATCATTACAATCATCAAAACAAACATGCCCATGTCTCACCAGAGTCATCTTCTATCCCCTCGTAATTACCCCCTCCCTCTCCTCACTCATTTCTACTGATCCATGGTCTGTCACTGCAGATTAGTTGAGACTTTCTAGAAATATATAAATGCAGTGACATTGTAAAAGTACTCCTTTCACCTGGATTCTCTCAGCATGGTTTTGAGTTTCACCCACACTGTCAAGTGTATTCATAGCTTGCTGTTGTTGCAGCTTTTCCGTTGCATGAATACCATGGTTTGCTTATGCATGCCTCTGTTGATGGACATCTGGGGTGTTTCACACAGGAGACATTACAAATGAAGCTGTCATAAGCATTCAAGTACAAGCCTTTCTCCTCGGGCAAATTCATGGTTATGACATAACTGGTCATATAGTGAGTATTTGTATAACTCCTTATGAAGTTTCCAATCTTACAGTAAAATGATTGTAGTATTTTTACATTCCCACTAGTCATGAATGACACCAGTAACGAGTCAGAGTCCCATTTCCTGGAAAGAGACTCTCATCAATGCTTGAAATGGTGAGTACAAGGTTTCATTTGAGTCCTTCTGGTGGTCATGTGATAAAATCTCATTTAATTTGTGTGTACAGTCATGTACCAATGAAGGAAATTTGTTAGGCACTTTTTCTCACAGCGTGACTATCATAGAGTGTACCTGCACACAGACCTGAATCATTCTAAGTAGCCTACGAATAGAATCAAGATAGATAGGAAACCAGAAATATGATGTTGCTAACAGTACTGCATGGCACACTGTTTTATAGGAGATATATCTTTAGAAATAGAAGTATAACTTAAAATAATGATAAAATTTATAGTATAGTAAACACAAACCAGTAAAAGCTATTTATCGTCATCATCAACAATCATATACTGGATGTGATTATATGTACTATACTTGTATATAGCAGGCTGCAAACACATTAGTGATGAGCTTAGCCATGGCATCACTAGTCCGAAGGTCTCAATTTCATTATAATTTTCTCTTAGTTGCTAGATGGATGTTTAACTCAAGACCCTGAGCATGCTAAGCACATTTTTGCCACTGAGCTGCATTCTTAGATCAACTCCATTATAATCTTATAGGGTCACCATTGTATCTGCCAATCTGCCATTGAGCAATGTGTCGTTACACAGTGCTGACTGCACTTAATAACCAGTAAGATTTCATGTCTTTTCATGAAATCATCTGATATTTTCCTTGGTAAAGTAACTGTTAAATTATCCACCAATTTTAAAAAAAGAAGGACATTCCCTCTACAAACTCATGAACTCACAGCATCTGTGGTTGCCCACACAAGATCAAGCCAGGTAGCATTCCAGTATGGAATTCTACCTACACCTCACTGATGAGCTATTGACAGTTTATGGCTTCTAGGAGAGGAAAAGCCAGATTGCTTTAAGATTGGAGTCCCTTGTAGGTTGGCCATGCTCACTGGTAGTTGACCCCACACATTTTGAGTATACAGACACTATAAATTGGATTCAGTGGATTATAAAAAATATGATTACATGAAATTGGGAATGGTGTGGATGGTGTGGAAGTGTAAAATTTTCTTGAAGGAGTTGAGGGTGTGAGGAATGAATGCTCAAAATAAATTGTATGCACATATGAAATTCTCAAAAAATCTTAAAAAGCAAAATAAAAACTAACAATCAGCTCTCATGTTTTTAAAAATAGGAAACTGCAAATTAACAATATTCTGTAGGGGAACATTTTATACATGAATTACATAAACTTATCCCCTTTGAATCTGTGCCCACATGGAGAGGGGAAATTTCTTTTGCATTTTGTGTCTAATAACCACTTAATTGGGTAAAGAAAAATTAAATTAGGCAAAGAAAAATATCTTACACAACATGAACCCCAAGTCATTCAAGTTTTTAATGGAGTGGTTTTTTTCTACATATTTTAGATACAAATCCTTGTCAGATAAATATATGATTTGCAAATATTTTTTCCCAGTCTGTGGCTAACCCTTTGTCTTTTTATAGTGCCTTTGGGAAGAAAACGAATTTCATTATGGGCGACATTTTCTGTGGCAGCTGTTGCTTACTTAACACTTGATATTTAAGAAATCTTTGCCAAAGCCATGGTCACTAAGATGCCTCCTGTGTTTTCTCCTAGAACTTTCATGATCTTAGCCTTGCATTTATGTCTATGTCCACTTCAAGTTAGGGAAGAGTTGAGCCTCCCTTCATTGCGTTCGGCACTGTAGGTTTAAAAGGTTGTCCACTGTCCACTCAGTTGCTTGGGCGCTGCTCTTGAAAAAGTTAGCTGCAAGTATGGGGCCATTTCTATGTGTGTTCTGTGCACAGTTCCACCTGGCTATGTGTCTGTCTTCACACCAACACCACAACATTTTGATTGCGATAGTTTCTTTTAAACTCTTCATTCCTTAGGGCAGATTCAACTTCACAACAAAACCAAATGGATTGTGCAGAGTGCACAGTGATTTCCTGAGCCCTCCTCATGCAGTCTCCTAGTATCAGCTTTCTTGCCAGACTGGCACATCTCAACAATGGAATATTTCTGGGGACAGCACCGTCACCCAAAGGTCTTAGACACTGTAGTAGGGTGCATTCTAGGTGTTTTATGTAAGGGTTTTGAAGAAGTATAATTTATATGCATTCACCATTGTTAGCACATAGAATTTCACAACCCTAAAAATTATTCTGTGTCCCACATATTCAGCCCCCATCTGCCTCCAATTCCTGGAAACCATTGATCGTTTTACTATTTCCACCATCTTGGCATCTCTAGAATGGCGTATAACTGAAGTTAGATAGTCCCTGGCCTTCCGGATTCTGGTCCATGTAGGGCGTTCATCTAGTCACCTCCTGAAGGGCATTTGGTTACTCCCAAGCTTTGCCTCCATGTACAGGTTCATTTGTGGACCCAAGCTTTCAAACACATTTGAATAAATTCCAAAGATCAGTTTATAATCTTGAAATACATAGATTAATGAATGAATGAATTCAATTAAGTGGATTCTCAGGAAACAGTACGAAGAAAGGAGTTTGGTGAGAGAACACACACAGTTTTGTAACCAGTTTTGCCGTGTATCCTCATAGGTTTTTGGTCAGTGTTTGGGCCTGGATCACTCCAAGAGCTGCGTGATGTTGTCTTATGCTAAACTGCAGTCCTTTGATAGCACATGAGATACTTCATTTTCTCGCCTGCTGATTTGCCACCTTTTATACCTTCTTTGGTGAGGCATCTGTTCAGGGCTCTGTTCCACTTTCTATTGGGTAGTTAATTCTCTTATTATTTAATTTTAAGAGCTCTTTGTATGTTCTAAATAGTAGTACTGTGGTGATATTGCCTAAGGGTTCAGAATGCACATCCAGCCACAAACTATAGAGGTCAGGCAATAGTGATACACAGCTTTAATCCCAGCAGTCATACTAGCTAGCCACAGAGCTAGGCAGTGGTGGCACACACCTTTAATCCCAGGACTCAGAAGACAGGCAGATGGATCTCTGTTAGATCAAGGCCACAATAAGCTACACGAAATTGATCCAGTCCTAAAGAGAAACAGCTCACACAAAGGTCATCTCAGCACTTGGGATCACATAGCTTTAATCCCAGCACTAGGGCAGTATAAAAGGAGAAAAATGTCTCATGTGCAGATTTAGTTTCCAGACAGGGAGAGCTATTGTCTCTGAGGATTGGTGGAGACAGCATTGCACTCTGAGGATTCAAGGAGCTAGCTGGATTACCCTTTCAGTCTGAGGTAGAGGTAAGAGTTAGTGACTAGCTGCTTTGTTTATCTGACCATCAACTTGAACCCTAATGTCTGTCTGAGTTTTTAGTTTTCATACTATGTAGTACTTTATCAGGTATGTTGTGACTGTTTGAATAAGGATGTTCCACCCCACCATAGGCTCATATATTTGAAAGCTTAGTGACCAGATAAAGGCACTATTTGAAAGGATTAGGAGGCGTGGCCTTGTTGGAGGAAGTGAGTCAGTCACTGGGGGTGCATTTTGAGGTAAACACATGCCAAGTCCAGAATCCATTCCCCAATCCCCTGTAGATCAGGGTGTAGCTAACTCTCAGCTCCTTCTCCAGCATCATGTCCGCCTCCTGCTGCCATGCTTCCTGCCATAATGATAATGGACCAAACCCCTGAAACTGTAAGCAAGTCCACAGTTAAATACTTTCTGTTGTAAGAGTTGCCTTAGCCGGGAGTTGGTGGCACACACCTTTAATCCCAGCACTGGGGAGGTGGATGTAGGTGGATCTTTGTGAGTTCAAGGGCAGCCTGGTCTACAGAGAGAGTTCCAGGACAGCCTCCAAAGCTACAGAGAAACCCTGTCTCAAAAAACAAACAAACAAAAAAAAAAAGAGTTGCCTTAGTCAGAGTACCTCTTCACAGCAATAGAATGGTGAATAAAACACGGGTTCTTTGCAAAGGCTTTTCCCCTAGTCTAAACTTCCTTTTTTTGTTGCAATTTGCAGAGCAGAAGGCTTTCGTTTTAGTTAAGCCTTGTTTATCAGTGATCTCTTCATGGATCAGGCCGTGGGTGGTGTAGGTAATGAAAACCATCACTGTCAAACCCATATATCATCTAGATTGGTCATGTTATCAACCAAGAGTCTTCCAGTCCTGCATTTTGCATTTCAACCGATAATTACCTTGCACTGACTCTTAGAAAATTATTTCTATATTTGTGTTTGTTTTGTATGGGTTAAGTCCAGTTTCTTATTATCATTTATTGAACTTCATTTAAAAAATATAGGCTCGGCCAGGCGTTGGTGGCGCACGCCTTTAATCCCAGCACTCGGGAGGCAGAGGCAGGCAGATCTCTGTGAGTTCGAGGCCGGGCTGGACCGATAGCCTCCGAAACAATACAGAGAAACCCTGTCTCGAAAAAACAAAAAAATATATATATAGGCTCTCAATTCAGCACAGGCTGGCCCTCAAACTTGTTATGTAGCTGAGGATAACCTTGCGTTTTTGAGCCACTTCCCAAGTGCTGGGGTGCAGATGTGCCACTTGCTTTATGTGACTTTATTCTTTTTCTATTGTGTTGGCAACTATAACTAGATGTTATTCATCTCTCTGTGCAAACTTATGATCAGCTTTTATGAAGAATGGAAATCTTGATAGTGTTGAGTCCTTTCTTTTCAGGGACAAAGAATATTTTTCCATTTCTTTAATTCTAGATCATTGCTTGTTTGTTTATTTCCCCTTCCCAAATCTGGGGAAGGAACCCAGGGCTTTCACTTCTTAGGGAAGTGTTCACAACTGAGCCTCACCCCATCCTTTTTTTCCTTTCTTTTTAAATCCCTTCCCTTTGTGTAGTTCTCATATAGATTATTTTTCTATTGTTGTTGTTTGTTTATTGAGACAGGACCTCATCTATGTATCCCTGCCTGGCCTTGAAACTTGAAACTCCTCATGTAGACCAGGGTGGCCTCAAACTCAGAGATCTGCCCACCCCTGCCTCTCAACTGCTAGGATCGATGGCCTGCGTCACAAACCCAAGCCTCACACAGATCCTATGCATATAGCAGTCAATATAGAAGTATTCACCACTGAGCATGCTGGTATAAATGATAATGTGTTTCTATTTCCAAAATCCAATTACTCAACATAACCATACAGAAGCAATTACTCTTGTGATATTGACCTTGTATCCTGCATCTTTGCTATAATCATCTATTAATTCCAGGGTTTTGTTGGTTTGTTTTGGTATTTTCTATATAAACAGTCATATAAACTGGGAAGAGATCTTCTCAATCTTTATTTTTATTCCCTTTTCTTTCTTTCTACACTAGCTAAGACTTCCAGCACAATGCTTAAATGGATGGTCTTGTTCCTATAATTATCATTAATGACTCTATCTAGTAGTTTTTACTAGATTCCATTTGTTAGATAATCAGCAGTGATACTTTGCCCTGAAGTTTTATAGTAAAACATTTATAGTATGCAGGCTACCCTCAATATTATACCATTCCACATCTAGTGTAACAACCTTTTTAAAACAGGGTTTGTACATTTTGACATTTCTAGTCTTTCTCTAATTGCCATAACTTTACTTGTTTGTGGCATAAACTCATACAATTGTTACAGTTTTTACTTCCCTCCATAAGCTAGTTTAAATATTTCAATGATGAAAAAGAAGTTAATATTTACTATATGTTGACAATGCCAGTGGTCTTTATTCTTTTGTATAGATCTAGAGTTTCCATTATTCTCTCTTGATCGTAGACATTCTTCTAAGATTTTTTAGGTTTTTTTTTCCTTTTGTGCCGATCGAACTCAGGCTTGGACTTATTAGACACATGCTCAACCAACAGGCCAGCTTCTAGCACTGCTTTAACATGGCTTGACATGTAGTTACCCGTCAATTCCTTCCATTAACAAATAATTGGGAAATGTTTTTAGTGCTGTGTGTGTGTACATGAGCACAGGTGTCTGCAGAGGCTAAAGGAGCTGGAGTTATAGGTGATTGTGAGCAGCTCAACATTGATTCCAGAAATCAAACTCCGCTTCTCTAGGAGTGGTAAGTACTCCTAACCACTGAACTATCTTCCCAGCCTTTTACTGTTATTACTCTGTGTGTGTGTGTGTGTGTGTGTGTGTGTGTGTGTGTGTGTGTTCAGAGGCTCTTTCCTGCCTTTTTACATGAGTCCTAGGACTCTAACTCAGGGTGCTAGTGTAGCTGGTGCTTTTACCCAGTGAGCTTTCTTGCTGGCCCTCTACTTTTATTTTTTTCAGACAGGGTTTCTCACTTGAAGCTCAGCAATTTGGCTGGACCAGCTGGCAGAAAGTCCTAGGAATCCTTTCTCTGCCTCCCTGGTGCTGGGATCACAGAGGCAGGCCACCACACCCTGTTTTTCTACAAAAAATCTGGGGATCCAAAGCAGGGCCTCATGCCTGCACAAGCAGACTCTTTGTCAACTGAAACATCTCCCCAGCTCTGAAAAAAAAAATCCTTTTTGAATGACTTTGTTGTTGTTGAATTTTGCTATGCTTTGGATTATAGGGGTGGGTTCCTGATAAAAGGATGCGTTCCATTCTCTTCTTTCTCTTACAGGTTCTTTTCTCCTCTTCCTATCCAAGGATCTTGTAAGCAAGGAGGCAGTTGATCTCCCAGCAGCAGGAAACCTCTTCAGATGTGCAAATCATCCCATCTGGGGAGTTCTTTCTATAGCTACATAAAGCAGATTAGACAGTTTTAGTGTTTGGGCTTTTTGTTTGTTTCCTTGATCGACTGTTTGTTTTGGCATTGGGGAGGTAGGTTTGGGTGGTATGGTAAGACCAGGCCTTTGTAGCTCAAGCTGGAATGGAACTTGCTATGTATGATAGTTTGTATCTCGACAAAATCTAGAATTGCCTGAGAGACAGGCCTCTGGGCATGCCTATCTATCGGGGATTTTTCTGTTATGTTAATTGGGTTGAGAAAACACCCCCCCTGTGGGAGGCACCATTCCCTGGCTTGAATCCTGAACTGTGTAAGCAGAGAAAGGGCACTGAACAGTAGCAGCACGTGTTCACTGCTCGCTGACTCCGATAGCAGCTCTCTTGCTGCCTTGGCTTCCCTGCCAAGATGAACTGTACCCTCTGAGCCAGAATAAAGCCTTTCTTCCTTAAGTTGTTTTTGTTGAGAGTATTTTATCTCAGCAACAGGAAGAGAAACTAAGAAACTATGTAACCCAGGCAGCATCCTCTTTGAGGCAATCATTCTGCCTCAGCGTCCCAAACTCTTAAGATTGCATGTGTATCTCAATATACCTGGCTTGTTTTTCTACTGCCTTCTCTGTCTGCTCTTTGCATGCTCAATTTTTGCGTTTTTCAGCACATAGGATACATTATAACCACCATTTAGAAAACTGTCACCAGGAATGAGGACACAGACCTGCAATCCCAACACTTCAGAGGACACAGCAGGATTGTGAGTTCCAGGTTAATCTGGATTATAGGAGACACCACCTAAACAAAAGCCAAACCAAACCAACACAGACTTTATTTACTGATTCTATCAAAAGTGTTCCATCTGGTCTCTGCTTTGATGGTCATTGTTAGTCGTATTCCTGTCTCCATGCCAGCTAAGTTTTGGATTGGATGTCAGGCCTACAGGACTTTGTCTTGTTAATGTTAGACATTTTTGTATTGCCATAAATACATTTGAGCATTGTTCTAGAGAACAGATAAATTGCTTGGGAATAATTCCCTCGTTCCCAGGCTTGCAGCATTAGGGGAGATCACAGCCACCTTCAGTCTAGGGATAATTCTGTCCCGTAATTTAAAGTCCTATCTTTCACTCTCACTCAAAATTCCACCCACTAACTATGAAGTTCTCTGCTTTGGTCCTTCTGGGTAATTCTCTCCCAAGCCAAGCCTCAGCTACTTTCCTCACACATGTGTGGGTTGAAAAACTCTGAGTAGAAGACTTTAGAGAGACCTTCCCGATCCCCAGAGTTTTCCTTCAGCATAGACGGCACTGTCATTTCCGGTGTTTTCTTTTGCTTTCAGTCTCCCTCAGCTCCTAGGTCTGAGTTCTCAACCATACTACCTAGCTTTCTCCTCCCTGAACTGCAGTGGGAAACTCTCCTCAAGAGTAAGCTGGCTAACTGTAGGGCTCACTTCCTCTGTTTTCTCTTTTTTAGGAAGCACCTTCCAACACAGCCTGATAAGATTAGCATCAGAATATTGTTGTCTAATGTATTTTGTCCAGTTTATTATTTGGAAGGTAAACTTGGCTCCTCTTACTCCGTCTTGGTGAGAAGTAAAAATGTTGAACGTACTCTTTGTGTGTCTGGGTGTGTGTTTTAAACAGTACTGTCTGTGACATACATCCATAAGCAATGCATTTCCATCAACACAAAGACTCAAGCAGCTGTAATACCACCTTTTTTCAGAATCTCCCTAACTTGTCCTTCTAGGGGACATAGTAGCTTATGTAAAGATTAGACAGGAGTTCAAATGGCTTAAATAATTAATAGCCTGTACTCAAGACCAGAAGAAATCAAGTCCAGCCCTTACAAATGCACAGATCAGTTTTACTAGGACTAGATAGAATCAGCAGAGAAGCAAGGCTCAGATGCCAATCGGCTTGATGGACAGCAGTGCCCAGGCAGGGAGGAGCGCAGAGGGCCATCTGGCTTGGCATGGGAAAGAGAGAAGTATCAGCCAGCATTCCGCCTAGACCTCTGGACACAACTAGCATGAATTACACTCTAGACATAAGTAAAGAATGTTGAGGATTTGAGTCTTCTTCTAAAATCTCATGGTACTTAGTAGCCAAGTGATTGTCACTTTTTTTGTTGTTTTATTTTTGTTTGTTTGTTTTTTCGAGACTGGGAGGCTGTCCTGTCTTGTAGACCAGGCTGGTCTTGAACTCACAGCGATCCACCTGCCTCTGCCTACTGAGTGCTGGTGTGAATGTCACTTCTAAGACACATACACAGGTAACACTCATAGAAGGTAAAGCAGGGAAGAATGGACATTATTCCCTGTGATATACAACTGTTTATACTACAGTTTTCTCACTTGTTAGCGGGTTCTTGGCTAGAAAGTCATTCCTATTCCTGTTTGAAAGAACTATCTAGGGAGCACAGTGTAAACTTTATGAGATTTGGAGCAGAATAGACCTGAATTCAAATACCATCTTTACACAAATGAGTGAGACTTAGCATTTCCAAGTCTCCATTTCATCATTTGTAAAATAATGTAGTATTTTGTTGGGAAGGATGTTTTGTAGGAGTCTTATAATATTCACTCAGAAAACATGCCTATCATCACTATTCCAGCAGCTATTTGAGGAAGACAAAGGTGGCACCTCTTCATCTGTCCAGACACGCAGTGTCCTACAATGAAGTCCATCTGAGCCCATAAAAAACCCCAGTCTTGTCTATGTTTCATAAAAACCATAGTTGCCAGATATTGTAAGGACAGCCATCAGGCCAGCTGAGAGCCCTTTCTGGTCTACCTTTCTCTGAAGACTCTGTCTTTCCCATAACAGTGGCATCCGCCCTGACCCTGGAAAGCAAGGTTTGGTTCCCTGTTCAAGGCTGAGCATTGCCTGTCCCTGTGTGTACTGAGAGCCCTCCAGAGCCCTCATCCTGGTTCAGGGGTGAAGGTGGTTGAGCTTGAGAGCAGACAAGGCATACTAGCTACTGGGACCTGCTGGCATGGGAACAAGTCAAGAGGCCTGCCAGAGGGGCAGCCAAGTGTCCCAACAGCTGATGCATGGCCCCTGCCCTTACAGGCTTCTGTGGCTGTGGGTGGCCCTACTCACCCATAATTGTCAGCATAGGGCTTGCTACTTTCCCTTCAGAATGACATTTGGCCTCAGAGTGGAGTGAAACCTGTTAAGACTGGATTTCTCTGAAGGGTCCTCTGACCATCCTCCCTAGCCCACCCAGAAAATTACAATTGCTGATTAACTTTGTAAATGGGCTCAGTATTTTATTTCTGTGAATGCCATACACAGATCATCCCACCCCAAGACTTCGTATTGACATGTGGGTCCTCAAAGTCGACTGTGTTGAATCCCTGCCTCTTGACTAACATGGACTCACAGATTCAAGTCCTTCCCTTCTTTGCTGCCTCTTTCAGCTCCTCAGTTCCTTCTCCTTCTCTTCACTTCCCACTGTTTCTCTCTACTTACTAACCTGATGCAGTTCTCATTCTTTCTACCTAGAATGAATCCCATGGGTTCTCTTCCATTGTCTAAGGTACCACTGACTCCACAGCTGTCTGCATCCCTAATGGAGGTGCAAAGTTGTAAGTTGTAATCTAATTTCAGAATGACTCCTTCCACGAGGACCTATCTCTAACATTGCCAAAAAGGAAAGAGTGCTCAGCATATAAAAAGAAAACATACCTTCCACTACATCCCACTCACTCCCTTACTTATTAGCTAACGATAGCTTAGAATTTGTTGTATGTCTTTCTAGATTTTGTTTATGTTTATACACTACGTATAAGTTACCCAATTGGTTAGTAGCAGACACTTGGAAGGTAGGGCACCTGAGATTGAATTCTGACCTTGCCATTTACTAGTTAAGGAATCTTACAGAAGTGGCGACCTTTCTATACATTAGTTTATTCATATAAGATTGAAATAAGAGTAATATATATTTCACAGGGTTCTTTTTTTATAAATCACATTTTTAAAATGCGTGCACGTGTCATCTGTGGAGGTCAGAGGAAAACTTGAGGAATCTGTTCCTCAATGTGGGACCCTGGATTAAAACTCAGATCAACAGGCTAGGGTGCAAGTGCTTTTATCTGCTGAACTAGCAATGGCAACCACAGAGTTCTTTGGAGGACCAATAAGTTAGAGTAATGCCTGGTATATGATTAATTATTGTGCATTTTATTGTTATTTATGCATTTTTATCTTTGTTGCACAAGTGGGACCATAGCATGCATATTGTTCTACAAGCTTGTGTAATCTGATAACATATCATATGTATCTTTGAATACCAGTACAACCTCATGCATTGTAATAATAGCATAGCATTGATGCACTGATTGATTGTATTTGTGTACAAGCTGGATCCACTTTTAAGTTCAGAGTATAAAATAGCATTAAGGGGATGGGGAGCCTAGACAGAATGGCTCAGTGGCACTTGCTACTCTTCAGAGGACCTGGGGTTCAATTCCCTTCACCCACCTGGTGGCTCACAACTATCTGTAACTGTAGTTCCAGGGGATCTGATGCTCGTGACTGACCTCTGCGGGTACTACATGTGGTGTACATACATACATGCAGGCAATGGACATACAACAAAAACAAAGGAGTCTAAAACGATTCTTTAAAGATATCACATGAAATAAATGACATCTTATCACACACTATGGCCAGAGAGAGTGATCTTGGGGTCCCAGCTATCTGTTTTCTCAATTCTGAGTTCCTAAAAGACAAGGCTGGTGTCCTCCTATATCCTAAGAGCTGCCAACTGCACCCTGCCATGCACAGAGACCTAGTAAGCTGTTAAATATTCTTATTGATCAATTTGTGTGTGTTCCTTTCCAAACATGGTTTCCTGACAGGCCCTTGAAAAGGAAGTCCTTTCCTTCTTGCCCCTTCCCATGACCTGGAATAGGAAAAACTGATCCCTTGGGGAAGGGCTATGTTTAACCTGCTCAGAAGGCCTCTGGGAGCACAGGAATGATGTGAGCATAAAACTAAGAGGCAGAAATGGGTGTGGTGGTGAATGCCAGTAATCCCTGCTCCTAGAGACAAGAGCATCTGTTCAAGGGTACTCTCAGCTACATAGCAAGTTCCAGGCCAGCCTGAACTGTGTGAGAACCTATTTCAAAAGAGAAACCAAATGAAAAGAGGTTACAAGGATAGTTCAGTCTGTAAAGCCTTAGACTTGCAAGGCCTGAAGATATGCATTCAATACCCAGGACTTCTCTCTGGGAGAAAAAGAAAGAAAAATTTTAAAGGTTAGATGTATGTCCATGCTTGTAATCCTGGTACTGAGGAGGCAGAGACAAGTGGATCTCTGAAGCTTTCCCCACTTCCAACCTGTCCTACTTGATGAGGTGAATCCCAGCCCAGTGAGAGACCCAATAGGAAGGAAAAAAGTTAGATGGTACCCAAGGTTGACTTCTGGCCCTCATGCACATCTGCACAC